AAACTTAAATAATATATGAAATGGCGAACTAAATAACTTTTAAACTTAAAAATATATGAAATGGAGAACTAAATAACTGAATACATACATTTTCCAAGAATTCATTAGCAGCACTTTTTATCACCTCGAAAAATTATGAATTAAAACGAAAATGATCCTTAAATTTCACTTTTTTTAGAATTTAATTTTTTTGTGAATTTGAAAAATATGAAATGGATAAACATTTATGAAATAAATTTTCATTATTGAAATTATTAATGTTATTGCATCGAAAAAAAAGCACACATAACAACATCAAATCAACAAGAAAAATGAAAAAAAAGGTACTCCAACAAATTGATTAATTATTACAATTAAATCATATATTCAAGCAAAAGGAAAAAACACCACAACGAGATAATTAATCACTGAAATTAATTGCAAAAGCAAAGCTGAAAAACCATACAGCCATCATTATTGCATATTAAACTTTGCATAATTCAACAGTGAATATTTAATGTTTTAACAAAAAGAAATAGAAAAAGCTAAAGCAAATATTTTGCTTTTAAGCAAAAATACATTCATTCATTTAACAAAATGAATAAATTGAAATTAAATCAAATTTCGAATTTACCTAAAATTTCCTAAAAGAAAACTTTGAGACCTGAGATTACGACATTGCAAACGAGCAATTTTATTTTTTTACAATTTCAGGGATGCGTCAAAAATTTTGCACGCGTATTTTTGAATTAGTAATGTGTCATAATTCCAATCATTAATCAGTATTAATCCATTGCCGTCATAAATCATTCGTCCTGATAAAAGCCGCTTGTTTCAAACGTTCTCACAGGTGATTCATCAATATGACGCGTGTAACTTCCTGTTATTCCATAATTCTGTAAAAAAAATAAAGTATATATATATAACAAGAGAGAAAAGAAAGAAAATTTTTATCAATTCTGATTGTTTGATTTTTTTATTGAGTTTGTTTCCACCGATTTCAATTACAGCAATTATAAACAACAATGCTTAACATTATCAATAAAAAGAAGTACCTTGGCATAAATGTATCAAATAAATTTGAAACTGTTTTTTATAAAGCGTATTCGAAATAAGTTAAATGAAAATAACTAAATTGATGCTGTATTTAATTAAATCAACAGTAGTTTAAATTTAAACCAAACAATATCTGCAATTCTGCGCAAAATCCATAATCAAGCCATACAGCAACCCTCCGGATAAATAAGATACAAAAGTTGAAATTCATTTTATAAAACTATAAATATCTTTTTGTATGCAATCATTTCCACATTTCTTCATTTGTAAGCAAAAATATCTCTTTCTTATCACCAACTTATCAATTTAGTCTCTTCACATTATCATATCAATGTGCCGTCAATAAGCAAATCTATAATACCAAAAAATATCATTAAATCATTCTGAATAATGTAAAACCATCAGCTAAACGTTACCTACTTGCTTTAATAATTCTTGCAAAATTTTTTTTAAATCAATTTTTGCAACCGCAAAAGTTTGTGCATAATTCAAAATTTAAGAAAAATTTCATTTCCCATCCAATTTTTTAACTATACATGTTGGTGCATAATATATAAATTCCGAATGCCTTTCTCATCAATAGTAATGAAAATAATAATAATAATGATAATAGTAATAATAGCAATAATAATAATAATAATAACAATAATAATAATAA